CGGCAGAGTAGACAGAAACAAAGAAGGCAATTTGATTCGGTACATGTTACGAAGTCCGCTTCTCCTGTGTAACATGCTTTTTGAAAGATTGTGTATACTGGTCATAATCTAGTGATAGAATCTATATATGTAATGCATGGATTATAGCTTTTTTTTGTTTAGATTGCAGGGTTTTGAATTTTCATAACAATTCATTTTCTGCTTTCTTGAGTGAGGAGAGATTTGCATATAATTTTGATCTTGAGAGCAGATGATGGAAATCCCTCATAAGCTGCAAGCTGAGTTTGAGTGCACTGATTGGGGAAGATCTGCCTTGGTTTTGTTCAGGCTCTCAGCGTTTAGTGGCTCGTTGCAAGCACTGTGTCTGTGTTTTACTCATGACGCTTGCTGTTGCGATAAAATAGCAGAACACATCAGGACCTGTTGTGGAAATACCGTCGTGGGCGTGCGGTAGCCAGGCCGCGCACGGCTCTCGGCGCTGCTCTCCGAGAAAGAGCGGTCTGGTCCTGGCGGTTACAGCAGAGGGCGCTGTTGTGTCCAGCTGCGATGGGGCGAAGACCGCTGGAGAACTTTGTGGTTTTGTTATGGGCGTTCATTTTAATTGGCCGTGGATTGTTTTGTTTTGGCCATGAGGGAGGCTTGGTTTTGATTTTAATCTAATTAGTGGTTCCACTCAAGACGTAAATCTGTTCATCCTGGTGCAGTGACTTGGTGGGTTGCTTTGCACATTGAAGTGTTTATTTGGAAAGCTTTACTAAGGAGGAGTCGCCCACCTGAATTATAAGGGTTTAAGATGTTTGGCCATTGCTGCATGTCTTATGTGTATAATGGACTCTTAAATACTTCAGTATTATTTTTGTGTGGTTTAAAACAGAAAGTAATCATTAAAACCTATTGAACTTACTTTAAAATGTAGCTGAAGGCATCAAACTAAATATGGCAGCCTGCTGTGACAGGATTTTGCTGTGTGAAATCATTGTTTTTATTTCTATTGGGGTATTTAAACTTCAACACTTAGAAAAGTATTTTATTGGTTAGTTCTAAAACTGGTATATCCAGCTCTGTTTTACTTCTGTTATTTGTCATGTTCAGCGTACCGTTAAAAAAAAAAATCCTTCGTAGTCTGCTTGAGGCCCAGTGCATCGTGTAGATGTGTTACACTACCTAGGAAATGTAATTGTCTTTTATCTAAATTTCAGGTTGCCTTTTGTTTAACTAAGTAAATAAAAATCCATTTCTGTGATTCTTCTATCTTTGTATTCAGATCAAACCTCACATGCTGCGCAGACCTTAACTATTCAGCACCCTGTCATAAGCAGCGAAAGACACGTTTGTGACACTTTCAATCAGTGGGTAAGAACGGATGCTTTTTCTCTTTAGGAGGAAAGAAGTGACAGAGGAATGCTTCCAGGGATCAATCAGTAATGACAAAACCTTTGGTAGACTAGTTCGATAGTTATTCTTGATCTGGTATCCTTTGCAAAACCAGTGGGCATTTTGGATTAAAGAGAGGAATTTGCTCTGAAGCAAAGTTGCTTTCCATTCCTGATTATTTTGCATGTAATTATGACTGAAATTATTACTGCATCTTAAGCCTTTGGTAGTGGATTTTTTTCCTTGGTCTTGTGGGAATATGTGAAAACTTGAGAACTCTGTTAATCGGCTAGATCCTTCATTGACAATGTCTGTGTATTTGTGAGTACCTTAAGGTAATTAATTCTAGAAACCTGTGCTTTCAGATAGCTGAGCACATCGCTATATTGGATCAGTTGCATAGTCATAATGCTATAATAAATGACGACTGCAGAAACTTCTGACTTGTAACACTTGTAGCTTATCCTGAATTTTCAAGATTTTAAGTACATGTCCAGCTTTGTCAGATCACCAGCAAGCTGACGTATTTTGTTAAAAGAAGTGATTTTGAGAAATACAGAAAACGTTAGTGTGTGGTTCTGCATTGACTGCGGGAAGAATCCAGCCCTAGACAGCGACCGCAGGAGGTCGTGCTCTGTGCGTGTCTCACTGCGCCTTGTCCCTTCAGCTCGGAGAGCAGCTGGCACAGCTGGTTCCTGCCAGTGGAGTCGATGTGGTGGAACTGGAGGATGAAGGCACATGCGTGCGTTTTAGCCCACTGATGACTTCTGCAGGTAACATCCACTTTATTCAACCACTTGTAAAAACTGGGATTTGCTATATAAGTCTAGAACAATCTCCTGGTGTAAAAGCAGATATACTCAAGAAAATCTTTATTATATTATCCTATTGTGAGGATTTTTTTATAGACAACCATATCAGCTGTATCATTCTGCTGTGCCTTACCAACAGGGCATTAGAGGTAGCTCAGCTATCGTATGTGACATTGCCTCGCTGCCTCTGCAGAGAAAGACTGGTTTTTTAAATCTGTTAGGAAAAGCAAGGGGAGCAGCTCTTTGTTTCTGATAGTTATAAAAGAAATATGAAGGAAAAATCATCCCTACCTTTCCTTCTCTCAGCTGCTTAACACAAGAAAAAGGTGCTTGACCTTTCTACGCAGGTGTTTCAACACTGAAACGGTGTTCAAAATATAACTACTTAACTGGAATTATTTACTAAACCTCTCGGTATTTCTGTAATCACTGATGCAGGAGGGGGAAAAAATAACCGTTGTGTTTTGGAAAGTGTCCTGGGATTTCACGTTCAAGTCAGTACCGTGTACGTACTTGTTTAGACGCGGCAGCCCCACGGAGCAACGCGCAGGGGCTCGGGGCGCTGTGTCCTGCCAGTCTGTGTGGGGTGAATGGCTTAGGCTGTCGAAACACCTGGCACTGACATGGGAGGATCCTGGTGTACTCAGAAAAGGTGATTTTTAGAGTAATGTAACTTGGTGATGCTGTGATGACTTTTATTTTTTTTTAAATCCAGCATGAAAGCTTATTCCTTGTCTGTTTGGCTATGAGAAGAGGAATTCTTCTGATGCTATGTACTTGGGTCACAAAAAAGGATATTGTCCTTATTCGTTTGTAAATCAGAAAATCCATTTCATTAGCTTTTTAAAAATGAAATATTTAGTTTTCTCCATTTTGGTGTATCAGTGGCTGGATAACTGAAGAAAAAACAGTTATATAGGTCAAGATATTTCAATACTCTAAGTTATATTTCTGATGGACTTAGAGTGACTTCTTTGCAAATGACTTATTTAATCTGGACATCTGTGTGCATGTCCATTCACTTTTATCACACTGTAATACATCAGCTCTTTAGTTTTAGGAACTGAAATACAAGATGTTGATCAGTTAGTAGACTGCTTAAAAATGAAGATCTCAGTATTGACAAGTACAATGCAACTGAGAGAGGAATTTGAGCAAGAAGTGAGAAGGACAGTAGGCCTGTTGTACATTGAAGATCTCAGCTGGCCAGGATTAGGTGTTGTAAGGTAACTTTTTTATATTTTCTTCATTGTATACTTGAATAGACTGCATTAACAGAAAGGAATAAGTGATCTCTTCAATGTTGATTTGGCTGTACTGTTTGCTGATTCGTATTTGGCTTTTCACTGAGTCAAAGCTTTTGAGCGCTTTGTAAAAGATCACCTTTTTAATGTTGCTTACTTTGGGTTTATCTTTTTTTTTAAGAAAAACTGAAGAGTTGTTTTAACAGAACTAGGGCAACAGTTCTAATACTGGAGGCAGTGTGTGGATCTGTTAGATGGATATGTGATATACATGTGCATCCTACTGTATAACTTAGATTTTAATCTGTAATGAAATGCAGTAATATACTGAATGAGACCCTTCATGTGTCTGTTCTGACCCTCTGATACCGTCTGCTGGGAAGAATTCTCCGTAGTAAAACCAGTTACATCTAATAATACCTAGAAGTCTGCTGTGTTCAGTTAAGCTTGCAGCAGCAACCTCCCCCCACTCCAGCATCTCTGATGACAAACCCAGTTGTTGAGCTACACTGTAATGTTTTGAGGTTTTTGGTTCATAACACACAGAAATTTGTATAAACATGCTAAATGTCTATATATTTTTGTATGTACTGTAAAGTGAAATCACCATCTTCTGGCTTGTTTTGAAGATACAACTATCACAGCGATGGGAAGAATGATGAAAAACAAGAAAAAGAACTAGAAAAAATCAACACAGAGCTGCTGAAGAAATTAAATGAACTGGAGTCGGATCTCATTTTTTCCTTGGGTAACTGAACTGTTTTACAACAACCCCTCTATTCAAGCTGATAGTCATTTTACTGGCTGTGTTACAGCAGTTCAATAGGTCATTCATAGATGGGTCGTTGTAACGCAAAATTACACTGCTGTGTATGTGGTTATTGTGGCTTTGTTTCCTCCTCACCCCTTTTTAATGTCCCCCCTCACAAATGCTCAGCAGGGTGTGTGAGCTGCACTGCTCTCAGAAATACTTGTGAAAGGTGACTTACGACCAACCAGCCCAGCAGTTTCCTTGTCAGGAAGAACAGGTGCTGCAGTGTTCATGGCTGCAAACTGAACTGGCTCAGGTAGTGAAGGGCAGGTCTCGCTCAAAACCCACTCATCAGTCCACTGCTTTCTGTGGATGGATTAAAGCTTCAGATTACTGTAATGATAATTAGCTGCACTTTCACATTTACATAGTGCCACACTATAGCTGAAATAATATTAACTTGCTTACTCAGAATTCTGATCTTTTTCTAGTCGGCTTTCGAAAATTAAGTGGCCTGGACTGATGGAACCAAGTCATCTCTAAAAGGCAGAAAGTATTGAATTTGAAGCATATTCAACCCTGATTATTTATTATATGACTCCTTGGCTGTATAAAAGATCCACTGCTTTTCTTGTTTAGATGTTGTTTTCTTTTCTCTTTTTGAAAGCCCACAGGGCTGAGCTTTTTCAGTCTGCACAATTTATACCTCTGCAGATACCGCCCTTGATTACTGAAGCATGTGTTTGCATCAGGATTTCCAGACTCACAAGCACGAGTATTGCAGCTGCTGTGAGAAGGCGTTTTTGTGCACCACAAAGACTCGATTCTCCCTGTGCTCGCAGGTCCAGAATTTGGAGGGCAGAAGAATTGCATTTATATTGGCATGGTAAATGAGGATCTGGATGTGTCGGAGTTGGTTGAAACTATTGCAGCAACAGGCAGAGAAATTGAAGAAAATTCAAAAGTATGTATTAATAAATCACAAAGCATTTCAGCACCTTTGTTTCCCGCCCCCCCGCTTCCATATTGACTTCTGGGCATGGTTTTGTTCTTTGTGAAAGTAAAAATTGTCCTCTGCAACAAATGGTATTGATTACTGTGGAAGTAACAAAGCGTGTCCACGTAAGGAGAACTTTTGTTACAGGGTTGACATTCTGAGGATGTGCTGATTTCTGTTCATGGTCCTATGCTCAGTAGTTCTAAATAAAAATCTTTACTACTACTGAAATAGGCTCATTTAAGCTGTCAGGAAAAAAACAGGGAAGGTAGGGACAGATTGTGAGCTGATGTTTCTCACTACTGCTAGATATGGCGGGATTGAGATTGTTTATACCAGCTTTAAGATAAGACTGTGTCCTAAAATGCGTGAAAAATATTAAATTGGTGGCTTAAAAACAGAAACCACAAATGACCTATTGAAGTAGCTGATGAACCAGCTCCTTTTTGTAAAAGCATTTACCTGATTACAGTTCTTCAGATGTTCTCTAAAGCAGAATTCCTACATGACGTGCACCAAAAATGAAGGCCTGTCCTTTCCTTCCTCTAGTGGTGGGCATTTAATTTCCTCACCTAAAAAATAAAGAGAACTTCAGAAATCCTATGCCCAGAAATTGCCTTTCTGCCCATGGGGATATGTTGATTTTGGCAGTGAAAGATTTTCTGGCAGTGTTTTCTGGACACTTTCTGCCCACTGTTGACTTGAGGGTGAGATGAAAGATGCTTTGCCTGTAGAGCACCTTCAGTTTTTTAACTGTTGTAGCAGAGAGATTAGGAACCAAATGTAGGAATATGGGCTGCTCTGATCCTGAAGCTTCTAGGGAGCAACAGAGAGTAGTGGAGGACTCAGAAAAGTGTCGTCCTTGAAACCAGCTACAATAAATCTGTGGTACTGAAAGGACCCTACACCATTTGATTCAAAACTGAAAAGCAGAAACAATCTGTGAGAATGACACTTGCACCATGTAGAGAAGTGGTGTCTGGGACCAGAGAGAAGCTTAGAAAAAGACTACTCCAATACCAGCAAGCCCTGAGGACACACAGATAGGTGCACTAAAAATGAAACAAAGTAAGACCAGCATCTTTGCTGAACCAGAAAACACAGTGGTTCCTCCTTGTGCTCTCAATGCAAATCCAGTGCACTCCCTTCTGCAGTCAGTGCACGGGGACACGGAGCTTGCTGTGGTGGTCAGGGCCTGGCTTGCCTCTGTGCCAGGGAAAAGGAGCAGCTTCCTCTTTTTTCCTTAGTTTTTACTGACAGTAACGTAAATTTTTGGCACTTTGGAGGAAGTGCCTGTCACCTAGGCCTTTGGCAATATTAAAATCCATATTAAGTTATGGAAATTGGCATTTGTCTTGCACATGACAAAGCCGTGACTTTGGTTTCTGATCTCTTGGGTTTGTTCACTTACTGCCCCTCCAGCTCTCCCAGTAAACTGCTGGGCCTTTGCAGTGTAAAACATCACAGGCGCTTGCACAGCGATCAGATGGGCAGTCATGTATTAGATTTGAAAAACCAAGTTGAATCAGTGACTGACACAGACCCAGCTGGACTGTGAGGCTGCTTTAAATCCCGGACACTTGAGAGAAACCAAAAGCTCATCTGTAAATCTAAAAACTCTTCCCAAGCAGACTCAGCATCTGATGAACGTGTACGTGCTAAGCAGATCTTTGAAGAATTTGGGTCACAGGCTTGCCTCCAAGTACAACAGAAATATGTACCATTCCTGTTTGAAGTTTAATAGCTTTTAAAAATCCTGCAGTCGGCCTGTACGTCTTTTAATTTACAGTCATAATGAAACCGTGCTTGTCAGATACTGTCTTGAAGTAGAAAAATGTCCAACTACCACGTCTTCATCCTCAAAACCTGAACTAAAAAGACATTTTCAAGTCCAGATAATTTATATAATAATAATGTATAATACTATGTGTATTATGTAAATTAATGTATAATGAGAATGTATATAATTATTTCTATATAATAACATAATTTCTGGTTTTATTAGTTGTTAGAAAACATGACTGAAGTTGTTAGAAAAGGGATACAGGAAGCGCAACTTCAGCTTCAGAAAGCAAATGAAGAACGACTTCTGGAAGAGGTGAGACTATAACAATTAGTTATCCAGGTAACTCGAAGTGACTTGTGACACAGGTCGCTTGCTCTGCAGCCAGTGCTTAACTGTGTACTTTGCAGGGTCTGCTACGACAAATACCGGTGGTGGGCTCCGTGCTGAACTGGTTTTCTCCATTCCAAGCCTCGCCAAAGGGAAGAACGTTCAATTTAACAGCGGGTAGGTCTCAGTGCAGCTGCAGTGGTAACTGCTGTTGTTTGAACTGGTCCAATTTTATACTAGAACTGCAACACGCTTTCTCGTGCTGACTTGATCGTGACACAGTCCACCCTCAGGATGTAAAAGAAGATGCTTGTCACTATTTCTGTAACACCCAAGACAATCTTCTGGCCTTACTTGTGCAGTTTACATTTTGTTCTTGCATGTGGAGTCGCGTTAAGCAGGCGATAGCAGACATTGGCATTTATTAACAGAGGCCTAATTTCTGTGACTTTTGGCTACGTACCCTGCGAATGTTTGGCATCTAAGCTAGCAGGGTAGCTCAGGTCTCAGAACAGTCCTTTGCTGTGTACACACACACGTATCCTCTTGAGTATGCTCGCAAAGCAGCACTCGGATGTGATGCGCTGCTGGAACTTGATGTCTTTGTCTGAAACCCTGGTTTGAGATTATCTGGCTATTGCCAGCTGGAGAAAGGTACCGCTTGGTGTGGTCAGCAGTGCGATGTCTCACAAGGACAGGCTGAAACCAGCTGGGGGCCGGCACGGACATGGCTTTGTGGGAGACGGCAACGGAGGGACTATTGCAGCGTAAAAGACTATTATTTTACTAATATATTTGTAATTATTGTCTGGTGATGTGAAAAGAACTCTCCATAGCCTCCACGTCATTAAGACCGATGTACTAACGTAATACTTTCTGAAATCCTACATTTTCACTGTAAAAAGTGTGGCAGAGTCTTAAAAATATTCCTCAACTCAGCAGTGTCTGTCGGCCCTAGAACAATAGCACAGCTGTGTCTCTGTAAGCAGCAAGGAAGGCTTCTGCTGGATTTGGGATCTTTCTTTCTGATTCTTGATGCACCAACTGGAAGGTTCTTGTGGCAGAGAACAGCAAGGCTTCCCTGGGAACATTTACCCTCTGCTCAATAGCTTGCAGCTAGGAGTATGTCAGGTGCCCAGTGGAGAAGGGGAAAAGGACTACGGGGTGTAGCAGCATTGTGGAATGTGAGGGAAACTTCAAGAATCTTTGAAAGTCTTGGCACTGGGAGACAGCTACCAGCAAGTAGCAGTTTCAGCTCAACCTAGCACATGCAATTTCAAAAATGTGCAGCAAAATCAAGACGGTTACATATCCTGTAAATACAGATTGAACAGAAAACTTGTCTGGTTTGTGCTATATTCAGTTTCTTTTTTTAAACCTGCAGGCTCTCTAGAATCCACAGAATCCACATACGTGTCAAAAGCCCAAGGAACAGGCACCACTCCACCACCAACTCCTACTGCCAGCCTTGCAAAGCAGAGACTTCCTGGTAAGTTTCTAGGTCTTAGTATTATTCATAAAACTTGCTAAAACATCTGCCATCTGAGCTGTATGACACAGGAGGACCCACATGGTTTTCTGTCTTTCATAATATCTGGAACTGGAGCTCATCTTCTAGTGCCTTAAGTCTGCCTTAAAAACCATTTAAACGTGGCACAGAGCACCTTGTTTTCTCCCCAGGAATTCCCCCTGGGACTCGAGGGAGTTGTTATCCCATTAACTAACAACTGCCTATGAAGTCTGAAATTTTCCTCTGGAGTATTATAAGGTTATGGAGTTTTGGAAGCTAGCCAGAAGTTTTATTTGAAATAAAAGCATAACTAGTGTGTAATCATGTATTTCTGTTGCTACACAATATTTTGTGGGCAAAGTAATTCTAAGGTGAAGATCTATTAAACCTACGGCCCTTTCTGTGTAGTTGTGTTAGTAACGAATGTTGATTTGACCAGCAGGAGATCCACAGTTTTAACTCACCTTTTGAGCTGGTTGGCTTCCAGCCTGTGATTTTCAGTGCAGGTTGTTACTCTGGAATGACTTCAGGCCCTGTGGACGGCTTCTGTCTCAGCTGAATTTCCACAGTGTCTGTGTACACAGGATAACACAGATGCTACTGCCTCGCATGCGTACATGTGACACAAGTATGCCTATGGTTAGGGTACAGGTTAGCACCCAGATAACATCTGTTCCTTTGCAGCTCTAAAATTCAGATGCTTGCTTTGAAACTTAACTTGTGCATACGACATTTTTTATTTGCTGCCTTCATTGGTGCTGTTTTCTTCAAATCCTTTACAGGCCAGAAAATTTTTAAAAGGTCTCTAAGAAGTTCTGATGCGTTCAGTGAGACCAGTTCCGTCAGCCACTGCAATGACCTGGAGGAGATGGATCACAGACCCCCAGCTCTATCCCCTGGCCAAGAGCAAGGACCTTTGGAGACAGAAAAAACAGAGCAGCGGCAGGAGGTGGCACAGTCACCACAGACAGACACTGAGGATGTTCAGTGTGACAAATCTCCAACTGACTGCACGACGGCAGAGGAACAAGAGAGTCAAAGATAAAATCCAGGCTGTGGATTTCAGACTTTGCAGAGGAAGCCTGTGCCCTGGGGGCAGGGTGTTCATGATGCATTTGAGATGTGAGCGGTGCCACACACCAGTACAGTAATAACTGCTGTAACTTACTAACTAGGATTCTGCACAGATAGAAATTCACACCCCCATAGGACAGAGATTTGTCTGTGTACACTTGTTACAGTGCTTTAATCCTCTACGAGTCAGTGTCACTGAAGTACCAGTGACCTCTATTACTGGCTCATAAACAGTTGTACCAACAACTGGCAGTTAGCTTTCCTGTAGGAACTGAAGCATGATAGTACTTTCTAACCAATCAGCCACACACAAAATGAAGGATACAGCTGCACCCAATGATTGTGAAATTATCTAGTTTATGTTAATACACTTTAAAAAAACCAACTGCCAATCATTCACCTTTTTAATATCTAAAATTCAGTTTAGCCTCTTCTGCAAAACATCGACTGCAGTCCCACGAGTGCTGTTTGCTCCTTTCTTTTCAACCTGACAACCCTGCCAAACGGTGGTGCCTGTGTACACAGAAGTCACTGAACAGTACGTTGCCATCACTGCTGTTGTGTGACCTGACCCAGCCAGCGAAGGCCCCAGGTACAGTGAGGACTAAGTTAGTTTCAAGCCTTTCAGAAAGAAATAGCTCCTCTGCATGCCTCAACAGCTTCCTGCTTCTGCCACTGGAAAGAATCACCCACACCCCATTATTTTCCTTTGCACGCCATTTATAAACCAAATACTCATGAACACATCTACGCAGTGTAACTGGAGTTCTTTCTGTTATTTTTAAAGATTGAGGTAGTGACGCTTGAAAAACCAATACATTTGTGACGGTTTCAACACTTATTTTTTGAATAACAGTAACTTACCTATGGTAGGAATTGTACAGATTCAAAGAAATTACACAGGTTATTTACACTACAGCACAACTCACTGAGTAATACACAAGCAAAGCTTTAGATAAATCAAAAGCTAACGTGTACAAGTCTCCCTCTCCCGAATGTTCTCAGTCCTTTGCTGCAGTTCCAGAGCCTTCTGTGGAAAGGAGTGCTTTGGAAACGCTTGCCTTCCCCGAGAGCTCTGCTGCTGAGACCCACCCCAGCCCCACAGAGCTGCGCAGAAGGACTGCAGCACCGGCATCGGGGTTTTCTTTGGGTGGGGCTGGGGTTTTTCCTTTCCCCTCACAATTCTAAATTAACACCATAATGGCTGTAGTGGGAGCAGGACTTTGATACTTTTGAAAAATCTGGGCTTTTGTAGTTGTCCTGTCACCTGCTTGGACTTTCAGCTTTAGATCCCGTGGGTCTGGGGTGCCATGGCCAAGGTCAATTTTGCCGTTAGGGTAATTTATGTAAATCGGAGTGCAGTTTTTTCTAAAGTGCAAAACCAACTGCATTGACCAGTCTTCCTCCTTGGTTTCTTTGGTGCAATGAAGTATGTTAATAAGAGTAATTTGTGGGGATAAAGTTATCGCCACAAGGATTAATTTTTAATGTTTTTATATTTGGAAGTGTTAAACCAGTAGTTTTGTTGGAATGAGCTTCATTCTTCAGATCTCTCAATAAAGATTCTTCAGATTATTACTCTTGAACTAAATTATTGTTGAAGGCTCTCTCCTCAGTTTCAGGAAGCTTTAAGCATGTGCAGGAAATCATTTTCTAGAGTAAACACCAACATCACGATTCCCTTCTCAGTCTCTCACCCTGCTCCCTCTCTTTACCTGTGTGGATCAAATTACTGCCCTGGAGCGAGAGGTCGTAAAGCCAAATTCTTCCTTCCAAGTGGCAGTGATTCCTAGGTACATAATGCAGAAAAAACAAGTGACTTCTGCCAAAATATTTTATTTTGAAAAGCACAGAAACAAAAGTATTTGTGATGAGCAATACACTTTTTTTTTGCAACAAACTGCTCTTCTTGCAAGACTGTGCTTCCCTAGAGCAGCTGTGGTGGTTAGTTCCGGGTTAGATTTTGCCAGAACAAACCTGTTCCCACAACCCTTCTTCGTTTTTTTTGTAGACGCGAGGTCTCCTGTCAGGAAACAGGGAGCGAGATGGGAATGGATGTTCTTTCAAAAATGTCAGCGTCGATCTAATGTGGGAAACAAAGTGGGGTGGCTCAGCCAGGGGCGACGTGGAAAGATTCTGAAAAACAAGACGGTAGCAAAAGCTGCTTGACATTCAGAACACAAAGTTCTCGATTATTCTGCCTTCTAAGATTATTTCCCACCCTCCCCAGCAGCACAGTGGGAAAAGTTCAGACAGCCCACGCGCCTTTCTCTGCTCCGCTAGAAGGAGAAAAATGAAAGTCTGTCTCAAGTACCTGTAAAATCTGTTTATCATCCTGTTCCAACCAGAAATCCACATGTGGGAAAGGCCTCCAGAAGTAAGGCCCAATGTGCAGTTGTTCCATCTTTGCGTCATAAATGTTTGTCAGCTGTAACAACACAGGGAGCCTTAAGCCCAGATGAAAGAGACAACAAATTCATCTGCTCTGCAAGGCCTGAAGCTGCAGCTTCTGTCTGCACCCCAGCTCAGCCCTGCTCCATTCCTACTGCACTGAGATTAACCAGTTATTCTGACAAACACGACGTTAAACTGCAACAACAAACCGTGACGTGAAAGACGCTGCTGGGATTGTGCCCATGGCCTGAATCTCTTTCCGTGAACCATCCTGACGGGGCTGTGGTTCCAGAGGGCTTCCCCTGGCAGAAGTGGTTTGACCTCCACCGCTCTCCTTTGCCTTGCTCCTCCAGCTTTCCCAGTGCTTTGGTTACTGACAGAACACTACCAAAGTAATTTTTTCCTCAGACTTCTCACATTTCATAACCCCTCAACTCTCTCTCTCCCCTTCCAGCACAAACACCCTGTCTTCCCATTATTTTTACTCACTGGTGCTCCTGTTAAAACATGGGCTGAGCGCAAATCCTCATCCGGCCCTTTTTCTGGGAAGGTTGCAGGGAAAATCTCTGCTGTTTTAACGTTCACAGCTGGCAGGAAATAGAGTTTAAACGCAGAAACAATGAATTCTTACAAACACTTGTTTAAAATGACCATGTCCCCAGAAGGACTACATAGCAGGAACTTCAGAACACATAAATACTGCTCTTGGATTTCTCTGTACCACAGACCTCATAGCCTGCGGTAGCCTATTTCCACTTATTCTGCTCTGACAGCATTTCAGTACTGCAGAGGAACATTTTCAGAGATACTTAAACTAGAAAAAAACAAGACCACAGAACAAACAGTGAAAAGAAGGCTGAATTCTAACCCCAAAGGTTAGTACAGCAACTTTGCATTTGTACACAGCCACTTACACGTGTGCCTCTACCTAACTGCGGCACCAGGAGAACAACTATTTCTACCCAGGCCTCCAACAGCAACACTGAACTTTTAGCACAGGCTTCACCTACCCGTTACTGGATACCAGATTTACTATTGGAATCTGCAGAGTACTCCAGGTACAAAAGAAATAAATTCTAACTCACCTATTCCATAAATGATTGGAAAGTGAACGTCCTTTTCTTCTCTATCATTTAGTTCTGCAAGAAAAAAAAATAAAGCCAATCTCTTAGGGCTTTGCATTCTTTTCTGAGCAGCACTCACATAGGTGTGTGTTTATTAGAGAAGAACAGAGCCAGTATTGCATAAAGACAGAAAAAAAACCCAAGGAAGCCTAAAAGAACTACAGAGAAGGTGGTGCAAACCAACACCAGTGAGCACGGGCCTGGAGCAGAAGCCCACCTCCCAGCAGCGCAGCCGGCTCCAGCTGCCGCTCTGCCTTCTGCGCAGGCATTTTACAGGGACAAACCCGCAACGCAGAACTACCGTGGTGCCGCGTTTCTGTCACCAACAGCGCTGCAAAGATGATGGAAGTACGACCTGAACACGATACACAGAACAGGAAATGACTCCTTCGATGTGGCATCACACACTGTGAACTCAGGGAAGGAGGCACCAATTTGCTCACACCTGCAGGGGCGCGGGCTGCCAGTGCCTCTCGCAGCGGCCTCTGAAGATACCCACAGACACAGGGCCTCTTTCCACAGGACAAAGGTGGCGAAATAGCCAGTAATAATCACAGGGGCTTCTGTCTGACATCACCACACACACTACCAGCAATAACACTCAAAATCTGCCACTTGTTACGGAGGACTCGTGCTGTTCTTTCTGACAGGACAGATAAAAAAAGCCATGCGTGAAAAGGCCCTTTCAGTGCCTAAAGATACTTCAGAAACCAAGGAAACATCTTCTTACCTGTTACGCAGAAAGTCACTAAATGAACATCATCCGGCTGGAGATCGAACGCTCCTACAACAACGACAGCAGCAATGTGTAAGACTGACAGGTGGCAAAGCACGTGCTGTGCATAGGCAAGGGGCTCTATCAGTGCTGTGCCCTGCAGAATATTTGGGCAGAGAGACCTAACATCTGCTCCTAAATAAGGCACAGAGCAAAGAGCGTTTTGTAGAGTTGCTTCAAGCCAACTTGTACAGCCTTAAAGCCACAGCTACTAAAAACAGCAGTAATTTACAGAAAGCAACCATGTGCAATAGCAAAAACACGCTGAAGTGTTGTGCCATTTCCCCTTTTACTGACACTGGTTTAGCTCTGGCATCACATTGGCTCTGCTTTCAGCACTGCGCATTTAACAGCTTATATTTAAATGTATATTCCTAAAATGTTACCTAGAGAGTGAGTGGACCCAGTCTTTCATCAGCTATATTTTAATTACGCTTTCTGCCATCCCACAAAGTTCTAACAGCCATACAATGTTATTGTTTCAAATTGTAACTTGATGCATGAAAATCAGAAGCTTGGAAAAAATACATTAACCAGAATTATTCATTCTGCACAGGACTCTCACAGGACACACAACCCTGCGAACAGGAAGCCCTGGCTGCCATGGCCATGAGGGTGCACCCCATGACCTTGTCCTTGTTTACCCCTTGGGCCACCTCCCTCTACTCCTGACATCTGCCCCCACCCCGGCTCCTTCCCCAGTCCCGTGGGGCCAAGGCTTCTCCACTCTCCCAAAGCGCTCAACAAAAGCCAGAGCACTTACAGGGCTGGTTGTAAAGCACCTCAGTCTTTCTCCAGACTAAAAGATTTTCTAAAGAGATGTAAGGTTTTTTTATCAGACAATCCCAACTGGTAATTAAATTTTACCTCATCGCATTAAGGCATGAAACGAACCGTAACTAATGAAGTCACCCACATGTATAAATTTAGACACTTGACCAAGATCACGCAGCGCAGCGGCAGCAGAGCCGGGGGCTGAGCCCGGCTGATCTGCACTCCAGTGCTATGCGCTACAGCAGAAGCCAGGAAGAAATCACCAGTTCAGAGCCCCCATCCCGTGCACCGCTGGGTGCAAGCCTCAGAAGCCCAACCCCTCTCCACATAAGGTTCTCAGTTAGAGGAAACACCCTCCAAAACAAATCTGGATTTCCTTCCATTAAATGACAGGGGGCTCAGATTACAAACAAACTTGACCCAAATCAAGTCAGAACTATTTTTTTTGGACATGAGAGTGGAAAAAACGTGAACTTACTAAGAAGCTGATTAGTAAGTTTTTGTGATAACTGCCTATCATCATTGAAACCTCCAACTAGGTGCACTTCCAGCCTAGCAGAGATGGAATAACAGGAAACAGCAGTTAAAAAGACATCCCAAAGTGAACAGCTTTACCAAATAATCCCCAGCCCAGACTGCAAAGCGATCATTAGAGAAGCCTCACTTGTTACAGTCACATGCGCCGAGTTGATTTGTGTTACAAACACTTCAAGGATCATCTAGGGAATAGCACGAATTAAAGACTTTAGGAAGCGTTACATGCACACAATTTCAACTACCCCAGTGGTGCCTCCAATGGTCGGCACCTCTGGTTTGGACTGCACTTAGTAACCACCTTTCTGCTCCCAAGAAAGGGTTAATTAAACATGAGGAATTTTACTCCTGTGACCTCGCAAGCACTCTGACCAGACAGCAAGGGTCCTTGCTGACAAGTGTCTATGGAAAGACAAGTCCTGACAAACCAAGAGCTTTTAGAGACTGTATCTAAGTTCATTCAGCTTTTGTTCTTATCAAACTACAGGGGCAAAAAACTCCCCACATTTAGAAAGAACTTTGTTTGCTAAATTCTGTTTCAGAGGGGTTTTTTGCCACCATCACCCCTCTCCTTTCCCCTCCCCCCCCACATGCAGGACTTAAAAAAATCCCTGATGGATCCCAAAAGAATTTACAAGACTAACAGTCTGGAAGGAAAACCAATATAAAACCAAAACCAGTTGTTCGGAAGATTTTGCACATCTGAAACAAAAGTGACCTGGGAAACAGCAGACAGAAAACCTCACAATGGCATTTTACAGAGACACTGTTCAGAGCAGAACCATGTTTTAAACCACTGCTAAAAACACTCTCAAAATCACCATCAAGGAAATAGTTTTCACTTTACTGATAAAGAGACGTTTCCTGCAGTTACCTTGTCCAAACCCCATATAATCACATAAATATTCCCCACCTTACAAGCTGCAATAGCTTTGTGAAAAAGAGTCCACGAGAAGTAAGAGCAGAGCTGACCTTCCATATCCTGCAGTCTTAGAGAAGGATTTTACTGAACTCATTATGAGCGACACCTCAGCTTCCGTGTCTGATCCGTCGCAGTGTGTCAGGCAGGTAGCTCCGCTGCCTGAGGAAGGCAGGAGACGACAGTTAATGGTGCTGGTGGAGGCTGCCATAATTTAAACCACTACCAGTTTACGCTACTATAGTGGTGTAAGAAGCTACATCCATCACCACGTCGCTTCCTCTCAGGACAGCAGCCTCCAGCAGAGGGTATGGGCTGACTGAATGAGGCAATCACCTCGTCATGTGCCCCACTATAAAATCACCACAATTCACATGAAGCGTGCGAGTGCCCTTTTACCCAGGGCCAGGCAACACGTCCAATGTCACAAATCCAGGTGCGTAGGGACGATCCTTCCATAAATTCTGCCTGTTACTACCACACCCTGCAGGCCTGAACTGCTGCACACAACCAAAGTCTGCAGCTGCCACCACCCACAGCCACGGGAGCAGATCAAGTTTAGGAACTGCTCACTGAGCAACCAGAACGAGGAACCTCTGACAGTGACCGTGCCAACTCCAAACAAGTCATTTAGTTAACACATCATGTCACTTCTCGAGATTCAAGTTTACGTAAGTGTAACTGCAGTTTCTTTTATTAACACAGCACGAACCAGTACTAATTCATTACTTCAGAGTTACAGGTTTTGTTCTGAACTCCCTCTAAAGATACCTGTGTGTCGGAGCACAACTATGTGGCATGTAGTCGCATCATCTGACCCCAGGATGGAAACAGACCCTATTTTAAAGGAAAGAAACACTGTAAGAACTCGGCTCTCACAATCGCTGCTTCAGTAGCAGAAAAAGTGTTTACGTTTCTACCTACCATCTTTAGGGGTAGTCACGGCAAACTCCCTCTGCTGGACATAGAGAAGACCTTTGGGTTCCACAACCTGAGCAGGCTGACTTCTTAGAAGCTTTGCCTTTTCCTAAAGATAAATAACAGAGACTACAATGGCTGAATTCCCAGGCGTATCCATTACTTGATAGAAACATCACCTCTGAAAAGCAAACGGAGCCAGGTCACAGAGAAACGTGTATTCTGTATAATGGAATATTCTGCATTTTGAGAGTTTTTCACTTTCCTGCCGCTGATGTAGTTAACTGTTAAATCCCATCATTCCATAAACACACAAAATCCTTCTCCCTGCTTGATAGATGGTAAAATGCAGGTATAACAAAAAGCAATAAGACTTGGCCAAGATTATGTTAGACAATACCTGAACTGATCTCAGAAGTTTAATCAGGGCAAGAAACTTTTGAAATTTAAGTGTTTCAGTCATGGTGCCACAATCCACTGCCACAACCCAGCATATTTATTTAGTACTGCCAAAATATTGCTATTTATTAGCCTGCTTAGTGCATGGGCAACCCAGATACCTAAGCTGAGACTACTGCAGTGTGTGTCACAGATCTGCTGGGGAGGCAGTGAATTTCCATCCTGGAGTTCAAAAAATACAGTTTTATCAAGTCTACACTGGTTTTATCCAAAAAACTCAGTTTCTACAAAGAAGCATATTCTGATGAGCAGGGTTTTCCCAGCCAGCTCTGCTCAGCAGCTCCCTGCCCACAGCCTGCCGTCAGGGTTACAACATTTATATACTGACACTGAGGCTAGCACCTTCCTAAAAGTTACTATTTCGGATTTATCACCGGTTTTTGTGATTTCGGAGAGAAAGGGGCGGCCCGGCCCGGCCCGGCCAGGGCAGCCCCCCAC